TACATTCGTCACACATCCTCATTACAAGTGGGACCGATTCCCGTGTCAAACACAGTAAATTTATTATTTTTACGGTGAAATGCGGCGTTGTTGACGGTCAAACCTCGTAGACTCCATGCCACGCCCATCTATAGATGAGCCATTGCGTGCATTTGGTGGACTACATAAACTGGGATTGCACAATATGTTGTTGCTAGCAGTTGAGATGTTCATCGTACACCATACAGTGTTTTGTGGTCGTCCATGAGTAACGTCACGTCTGCAAGATGATCATATGCCTCTGGTTCACCAGATAATAATTACAAATGCATTCCTTTTAAATGAGTCCCAGTGAGGTGGGAAATTCTGAACCTGGGGAAATTCTAGACATTAGCATTGCAGAAAGGGATGGACGGAAGGGAAAACAATGCAGTTCAGGCACAGCGAGACAGACTAGTCCGAGTAGTGCCAGGACTGCAAGGGAACAATTACGAAAACCCCTTCAACTGCACGTCCAATTTTGCAACCACGTCATCGACGAGGACATGCCCGCATTTTATGGTGGAAACAACTTCCGAGGTTCAGGTTACATAAGAGCCCGTCAGACAGGTTTCATAATGACAGCAGTGATGGCCGTCAGCGTGTATATCGACGTCGGATGTAGCGTTACGCTGATGCGTTTGTTGTCCAACGTTCTGCATTCGGTTGTGGGAGCATCTTATGGTATGGGAGGGCATCAGTGCACATCACAAGACCCCTCTAACGGGCATCGATGGCAGATTGACAGATAAATGGTACGGTGAGGATAGTTACCCCTTCTCACGTTGCTCCACAGCTAATGCAGTGAACGTCCTTGCGTTCCATATGTGCTCACAAACTTCACTGGACAACAAAACAGCATAATGCTCCCTTAACGTATTGTTTCTTAGATTTGTCACCCATCGAACGTGTATATAGGATGAAATGCAACGTCGTCTACACCAACACAACAAAAACAACCGATGGTGTTGGTCCAGATTTGTAATGACGACTTAAGACCATTGTGCGTTTAAGGGCAGAACAGACGGTGGCCATACCCGGCTGGATTAAACACTACGTCCGATTTTCTCTGCGTTGCGTCATGCTTTGCGTCCGAAAAAAACGCAAGCAGTACATTTTCCATTTAGACAATACACTAGGTGCGAATTTTGCATGCGTTGCGATCCGAAGCGATTTAGATAGGCAGGCCTCCTATTTTTGACGCAACGCAAATGAACTCGCATGAGGAATTCCCCTGATGACGTCATTCCAATAAGGTATTTCCCCAACACGTTGACAATCAGTTAAGGTTATTTCCTAATCTTTCGATAAAAACACGCGATTCCAATTGCAGAGGGGCTGTGTTTTTTATGAGATATTATTTATAATGTGTTTCTGCGCCTGTCTGTGCATAACATATACAATAATATGACAAACCTTTGATAAATTTTATTCTCAGAACAAGCTACTTCAAGATGCTTCTAAAAGTCTTATGAAAAATAAAATTGCCCAGATATTTCATGAGGCTCAATTTGGTTCACGTCAACAGAACCCTCAGAACTATGTTCCCCAGGGAAATCAGTACTGCTCAAATTCTATATATGTGGAATTTGTAATGCCTGAGTGTATGAGAGAACAATGTTGGTCTGAAAGTAAATATTTTCTACATAATTTAAGTTCAATATTTCGAAAACACATAAAAGATTGATGTTATTTAATTCCCTAATAATTCCCGTATAAGACGATTATGGGCTCTTTCAAGTAATCTTTGTTGGTTTAAGGGATATACCCACCATCTCCGTGTTTTGTTCTCTTCCTCATGCACAGAAACTGCCAGAGATGCTAGGATTTTTCCTCCATCTTATATTCATCCGTCTTATATCGCAGATGATCGCACCTAGTGTATTGGAAAAAACGCACTCGGTAACGCATGCGTAAAAAAATGCGGACGTAGTGTAAATCCAGCCTTACTGACATTGACTGTGTGGTATTGAGCTCGTGTGGAAGGACAACTACAAGGTGTAATAAATGGCCCCTTTTGTTTTGAAGTTTAGCACCCGCAATATTCGACTGAAATAAAGAAACATAAGCTCATGATTCACCTCATACTTCAGAACATTTACAATTTTGCTGGTAAGTTTAAAACAGTCTTCATGAAGAATATCGAGATACACTGAAGCAGTTGCAGCTATTTAAGGACTTACATATACAATTTACAAGTAAGTAAGTACTATACAATTTAAAATATTGTCTTCTTTTGTAATGCTGATTTTGTAATCTTTTCATATGCTGATGATACTCAAGTCCTTGATAGTTTGGAAGTTTCACAAGTTGCTGAATCCCTTCAGAAAACAAGTGTATGTGCATCAGAGATAAAATCTTGGATGACATGTAGCAAACTGAAACTTAATGATGGAAAAACTGAGGCTATGTTGGTAGGCTCTAAGCAACAGTTTCAGATGTCAACTGCCAAGAACTTAAAACTTCTGATGGCAACTCTGTTGTAGACTTCTCATCCCGGGTAAGAAACATTGGTGTCTATTTTGACTCCGAGTTGTCCATGGATTACCAAGTTGACAATTTGTGCAAGACCTGTTTTTATCATCTCAGATGTATCAGTCAAATTCGTCATCTGATATCACTTGATGCAGCCAAGACATTAGTACAGTGTTTGGTACTCTCGAGGTTGGACTATGGGAACAGTTTGCTTCTAGGCATCAGTAAAGAATCTCTGAGGAGACTTCAAAAAGTCCAAAATGTAACGGCAAAAATCGTTACACGTGCCCCAAAGTACTCTCACATTACGCCGATACTGAAGTCATTACACTGACTTCCGGTTGAGGCGAGGATAGCGTTTAAAGTACTCTGTATCACATTTAGGTGTCTAAAAGGAATGTCACCAGAATATCTAAGTGAACTGCTAACCCCCTACAAACCATCCAGAAAACTGCGATCTGAAAGCAGATTCTTTTTGAAAACTCTTTCTTATGGACTGGCCTAAAATGGAAAGCGTTCTTTCAGTGTTTGTGCTCCATCGCTGTGGAATGACTGACTGACTGAGTATGGTTTTACGCCGTTTTTAGCAATATTCCAGCAATATCACATCTTAAAACGCATCTCTTTTCATTGCACTATTAACTCTATTCAAACATTATTATTATTTTGTAGCGCTTTGAGCACCCACTTAGTGGTTGGATTTAGCGCTACATAAATTTCCAGTATAATTTATTATTAATGAAGTCGCACAATACCAACATTGAACAGAAAACACTAAAGTTGATTTACACAGCTATTATATAGATATCTAAATAAATATCGGTAGTGATGTATCAACATGACGACATCAAGGTTTCTTTAAACGGACAATTACTGCTGACACGTACTGCAAATGTCTAACTTAATATTGAGTAAATGTCAATGTATCAGTTAATGTTCAAGGCCTAGATTTTCGAAGCTCTCATAGCGCTAAGATAGTCGTAAGGCAATGTTAATGTATGGCACTTACGACTATCTTAGCGCTATGAGGGCTTCGAAAATCTAGGCCCTGGTATACAAGTCAGCTTCAACGAGACCACCGTCTATGTTTGTTCTTTAATGCTGCATTCTGGAAATTTCCAGCGAGACCACGGCTGTCTGTACATAATCGTGTCTATATACGCTATTGGGATACGATGACATACATCAGCCAAGCCAGTGAGTCTGACCACCTGATCCCGTTAGTCGCCAGACACGTGAAGATCCCGGTTAGAATTGGTCTTCAGCAAGCCCTGATTGTCGTAAGAGGCGACTAACGGGATCAGGTGGTCAGGGTCGCTGACTTGGTTGACACGTGTACGTCATCCTATCCCAGTAGATCAATACTCACTCTGATGATCACTGGATTGTCTGGTCCAGACTCGATCATTTTCAGACCGCCGTTATATAGCTGGAATATTGCTGAGTTTGGCGTTAAACAACACAAACCAACCTACCAACCAACCGTTAGTCGCCCTTAGGACAATCGTGGGCTGATAAAGACTAACTTAATTTATGCCGGGTGTAAAATTCGCTGCTTTTCACATTTGTAGTATATATGTATTGTTGATAATTGCTACATGCATTCGTGTTCTTATATGCAATGCTAGACGCTCTGAGATTTTGAAGAGTTGTTGATAGGCAATACTAGCTCTTTGTTGATTTGTTCAACGTTCAATAATGGCGTACAAGGAACTACAGTATTTTAATTACTTTAAGGCTTAAACAATATGGTTTTCGCGAAACATGAAAGAACATGTAAATATACATCATAATATGATCTCCAAACCTTGCATTTACAATGAAATAATCAGAAGGTGTATAAGTGTCTCTTCCTCAGACAAGAAAAGCGTTTATGAATTTGTGAAGAATTAAAATACAAAATTGCCAACACTTCACATGTTTACAGGGGCGGTGGGGTAGCCTAGTGGCTAAAGATTTCGCTCGTCACGGGTTCGATTCACCACATGGGTACAATGTGTGAAGCCCATTTCTGGGGCCTCCGTCGCTGGGATTATTGCTAAAAGCAGCGTAAAACTATACTTACGCTCTCATATGTTTACAAATTATGTTCTAACATTCATAGATATATGTTTGCATGTTAGCCATAGCTTTCATGTTGTTTGAGGACATAGCATTATATTCACACCATCTCAGTGAAATTATTACATGAAAACTCGCAGATTTCACAACATTTAAAAAGTTTAGTTTTCCCCCTCCCGGAAGTAAATTAGCTTGCCTATTCGGTATGGTACAACCCGCCCTTCCGCAAACTATGCGCAGACATTATGCTCAACATGAACAAATTCTGTCCAGGAACTAACTTAATGTAGACATTTTCTATTATAACGTGATATATATACCTAAACAACACATGCATATCAAGTTTACGTTAATTTGTTAATCTGACACCAAGATACACGAATGCGAATGCTATCCTGTGCGCTATACCGGTTCATCTAATCGAAATCCTCAATGCGCACCTGACCTCTCGCGAGAATGTTTGTGACGTTTGTGAGAAGGGTCGTCAGTCTTACTTCCTTGTTCAAATTATGACAACCACTGTACGGCCAAACTTTATCAAAGTGGAGTTTCTTTCAAGGTAAGGTAATTTAAACCACTAGCATACAGTTACTGACATATTGTCTCTTTTGTCTCACATTTTAGTGCTTATACTTGAATCATATGCTGTTTTACCCACATGGGACATCGGGCTTGGGGGAAGTTCGACTGAATGCCATGCCCGTATCATAAGGTTTGATAGATGGGGGACATTTTGAGGTGAAGACATCTTATTATGTTTTTTAGTTTACATGAGAGGGGTGAGTTTGTTGTTTTGCTGGAAAGGTTGTTGAGAAATGTCTGTGTCTACAATATTCATATTGTGACAATCCTTGTGATTACTGAAGCAGATAGCCCAGCCCCTTCACTGGTACAGCCTGGCTCAGTAAGTTCCCCACGTCAAACAGACAGGTGAATCTAACCCAACAGGACGTTCGTCACTGAAGGTGCTTAACGCTCTGTTTATCTGTAGCGGGGTTATAATAAGACAAACAAACAGTCTCTTAAATTAGCCACTGTTACTTATTAATGATAATTACGTAAATAAACATTGCAGCACTGATCAGATCAACTACTCATGTTTAGGACGTTCAGTATCTTATGAAATTGTTAACTTTCTTTCTTGTTCATCTCTGACAATTATAAATTTGTATACAATTGATTATGTTAAGTTTTTATGAAAATGTACCTTTAAGATGGTATAGTTGCTTGAATTCAGTAAAAATAACTGGGCAACAAAACAATCAAAACTGGGTGTACAGGCATGTAAGGAATGGCATCACTATCAGATTGTATGCCTTGTCTCAGGATTAATATACATCATTCTTTTCGTGCTAGGTTGCAAGCTAAAACTTTGCTCACTATCTGGATTGTTTTTTTTCGAATCAGTTTGACATGCTGATAAGAACATGTTCTATGTATAAGCTGTCTGATGTATTGACTTGATGGTGACTAGAGTATTAAATATTTTGGCTTCATGTTTTATATATATTATTGTGAATCAGTGCTTAGCAACCAAGAAGACCAAGACATTTTCATAATGAAATAGTGCACAAATGTAATGGTTCTCAGTCAGAAACAAGTCAGTGAGATTCGAATGTCAAATGATTCAGTTTGAAACTTCATCAGTATCTTCCTTATCAATGTCGTTATTTTTTCTAGTTTCGTTATTTTTGTAGTGGCTATGGTGGTAAATCTCAAAGCCATATTGCAAAAGGAAATAGAAATATACAAACATAATATTTGTTTTGACAGACAAGGAAATAAATGACCCACGAGTCTTATATTAAGACGAGAAATATGGGATAGACTATCTCCATGCTGTTTCACTATGTCATCTATTTCCACAACTTAGTGGAAATAATTTATTACTTGAACAAATGGTCAGTCATGATCAGTTATGAAACAGGGTTTGTTAGACTAGGCAAGTAATATTCAGGAAGTACATATCACATTTTAGTAGTCTTCAGGGGGAGGTAGGGTAGCCAAGTGGTTAAAGTGTTTGCTCATCATATCAAAGGCCTGGCTTTATTGCCCACATGGGTACAATATTTCTGGTGTCATCTGCTGTAGTATTGCTGGAAGGTTGCTAAAAGCCACGTAAAACTATGCTCACTCACTTAGTGGTCCATAATACAAAAATACAATATACTGAATTGAACACTCACAAGTGACAAATCACAGGACATGCTTACTTTTTGTGAACACCTGGGGTCCTCACTCATGTTTTAGTTATCCATTCACTAAATTGTCTCTGTTCAGTGAAATCTTTTCAGGGGATATTCTGTAGCATTGACATTTTATTTTATTAAACGATGAAGGAAAATTGTGTGTAAATATGAGTGAGTTCCATTTTTCACTGGCAAAAAACAGTAAAGGTTCAGTCATACTATAGGAAACATTCAACTTCATTCAAAGAATTTTATGATTTAATGAATTGTTTTATGGTTCTCCAGTCAAACAGTTCTTTTCAGAAGTAATTTCTGGCCAGATAGTTTGAAGATGACATATGACTAGGTAACCTGCCATGGTAGTTGTTATGGCTTCTGTCATGATAGGTTATTGTTATGTATAACATGTCGTTAACTGTCATGGTTATTTTCAAGTGTAACGTGTTATTGTTGTGTATAACGTGGTATAGTGGTATGTATAATAATATGGTGTTATGTCATGGTTATTTTGTCAAGTCGTGGTTATTGTAATAATATGGTGGTATAGTGGTATGTATAACATGGTGTTATGTCATGGTTATTTTCAAGTGTAACGTTATGTATAATATGGTATAGTGGTATGTATGTAACATGGTGCTATGTCATGGATAATGTATAACATGGTGTTATGTCATGGTTATTTTCATGCTACTGTCATGGAAAATATCATGCTACATGCTACTGTCATGGAAACTCGCGGTTATTGTTATCATGGTCATTTATTAACCCTCCTTCGTCCTTTAGGTTCATACTTAAACCAATTATGTCAATCAATGTTCCTGATGTCCATCACTGGATTGTCTGGTGTAGACATTCATAACTTTTAGGATATAACCGGAATATTGTAAGTGGGGCTCTAAGCAACAAATAACATACGTTCCACCACGCGACTTCATTGGAACTTATTTCAGAGCCTAGATAAATCCCAGTGTGAGATCAATACCAGCACTGTTTCAGATCCTAGATAAATTCTAGTGTGTGATCAATACCAGCACTGTTTCAGACCTTAGATAAATCCAAGTGTGTGATCAATACCAGCGCCCAGTTTCGGATCCTAGATAAGTCCTAGTGCGAGGTCAATACCAGCATCCAGTTTTGGATCCTAGATAAATCCTAGTGTGAGATCAATGTCAGCACCAAGTTTCAGATCCTGGTTAAATCCCTATATGAGATCAATACCAGCACCCAGTTTCGGATCCAAGATAAATCCCAGTGTGTAATCAATACCAGCACCCAGTTTCGGATCCAAGATAAATCCCTATATGAGATCAATACCAGCACCCAGTTTCAGATCCAAGATAAATCCCAGTGTGTAATCAATACCAGCACTCAGTTTCAGATCCAAGATAAATCCCAGTGTGTAATCAATACCAGCACCCAGTTTCGGATCCAAGATAAATCCCAGTGTGTGATCAATACCAGCACTCAGTTTCAGATCCTAGATAAATCCCTATATGAGATCAATACCAGCACCCAGTTTCAGATCCAAGATAAATCCCAGTATGTAATCAATACCAGCACCCAGTTTCAGATCCTAGATAAATCCCAGTGTGTGATCAATACCAGCACTCAGTTTCAGATCCTAGATAATCCCTTTCTAGGATCAACGATCAGTGTTCAGTGTCCAAGGTATAATTACTGTGTTTAATCAATATCAGCACTAATTTTCATATGTTTGATAAACATAATACATGTAACTCCAAGGATTTGATCAAAATCAGTTTCAAATCTTAAACACATCATTGCTTATGATGAAGAGGAGATGCACATGGTTGAATTCCACTTTATCTCATGGGGAAAACCCACTGCAGCACATCAGGTTGTAAGTCCATCTGTATGGGAGTTCACTGACACACCTTCAGAACGGAGAAGCTGATTAACATGATGAAAGTGCTGAGGTCATGGCTAGTGTTTGATTGATGAGGGCAAAGAACACAAGATGTCAAAACTTAAAGATGGATTATATTAGTTGATAATTGTTGGTATTCTGGTGATCACATATCTGCATATAAATTATAATGTACCTCAAGTTGTATTTCCAGATGACTTGACACAAATATTTATGTAAAAACTCAATTCCTATTAAGTCTGATGTGTACAAGTACGCTTGAATTTTTGTAAATACTCAATAAATGTGATCTTACATGCGTACACACAAAATGTCAAATCTTAGCTTGGAGGTTACTGAGGATAGATCAAATAACTGAGGTATACTGACAGATTCTATTTCAGCACCTGAACTTGGCAATTTGCAGTTTTTCTTATTGTTTCTCATATTACTGATCTACTATAAATAACAAACATGTAAACCAACATTTAAACTTTATTATATGTTTACAATTAACGGAAAATGGCAAAATACCCAATTGAGTTTGAGTGAGGTGGGTACAATATATTTGGTTACTCAAAGGAAAATTAGGATACCCAATTGAGATGAACACAAGTGAGTACATTACTCCATTACCCAAATAGTTATCTGTAGCTCTGACTTTATCTAGTCATATGAGTTCTCCATATGCAATGACTGGTGACAGGTTTTTATGAATGATGTGTGACCTTGTAGGCGTGTTGCCGTGACCGAGACTACTGGCATACTTTGTGACCTTCAATCAACCATGGAAATTCTAGTTATTCAACCCAATCTACAACTCTTGGAAAATGCTGCAAAACGTTAAAAAATAATCAGATGAATGGTAGTTGATTGTTGCAAGTGTCTGCTGGCCTGTGTGTGGGACATGTAAAAATCCATAGATGTTCGTCTTCATTGATCAGTAGTTTTTGAGGGCTTTAATTCTCTGTGCTTCAGGTTAACTAAATATACCTAGATAAAACTAAAACTTTGTCTCATCAAGCGGGACTAGGTACAAACTCTGAGACTTAATGAAATAAGGTTTACTCTAGTTTTCTGGAGTATTTTTAAACTATATATTTCTAAATCTTTGTAACAGTTATCCATCATTCCTCAAAGATAATGAAGAAAATGTTGAATTCAGAGCTCACATGCTGAAATTATGTTAACTGTTATAGAAGATGTTCAGCTACATTCACCTGTAGTTAACATGGCTAGATTTAAAAACATTAATATGTAATTGACAAATCAGTTTTGAGATTCACAGAAGCAGTTCTGTGGTAAGCTGCATGTTTTGTCCATAAAACAAATCATTTTCCAGAAAATAATTAGTCGTAGTTGTAACTTAGCTCTAATGGATTGATCTTTTGTTCGCCTGATAGTTTAAGATTTAGTCTCATTCGGAGAAAAGAAGTATGTTATTTTGTGTAATACCTGACTCTGTCAAACTTGAGTGAAGCTCGATCAAATATTGTCATTTCA